AAATTGGACATTGTGCTTCCACCACCCCCAGGGATAAAATCTGAAATCTAAAATCTGAAAATCTGAAATGAAAAAAAAAGTTACAAAGTTAAAAAAAAAACACAACATAAACACGTCAGTGTACTAATGCTGGGGATGGATCTTCAGTCTGAATCCACAGTCTACAATAGCAGAACCGCTTCCCTTCCCTCCCAATACAATCCGGCCTCAGTCTCTAAACCCGACACCCGGTGTCACCGACAACCAGTCACAAACATTCCCCGGGGTGGTCAGATTCATCCAGTATATTAGGTGTCTTAGTGTGGGAATGACATGATTACACCTCACTGCTGCACACATCTAACCCACACAAACTACAACAGAATGTTCATTAACATCACTGCAGCCCAAATACTAAGACACAGAACGTGGGGCGCACCCAGGAGCCAGAAAATCCAATCATTTCAGTTCACAGCTCATATAGGGGGACAGTTCTTTTTTCTTCCATCATATCCTTCTCAGTTCATTACATATTTCAGGTACGGATAGTGCTGCCAATTTACAAAAGTGCTTTACATAATTATATATCGTACATTCACATCGTTCCCTAATGCAGGCCATAGATGAGTCGAAAATCGGCAGATTTTTCAGCTGAAAAAAAAAAAAAAATCTGCTGATTTTCGCACCGTTAGTGGGTTACTTGGGTCGGCCGTTTTTCGGGGTTTTGGCACTTTTTTTTTTTTTTTTAATCGGTAAAGTTGGAAAATTCACAGCCGATTTTCCCGGCAATGATGGCAAATTGAGGAGGAGGAAGAAGAAGAGGAAGGGGGAGGGAGGAAGGAAAAAGAGGAAGGGGGAGGGAGGAAGGAAAAAGAGGAAGGGGGAGGGAGGAAGGAAAAAGAGGAAGGGGGAGGGAGGAAGGAAAAAGAGGAAGGGGGAGGGAGGAAGGAAAAAGAGGAAGGGGGAGGGAGGAAGGAAAAAGAGGAAGGGGGAGGGAGGAAAGAAAAAGAGGAAGGGGGAGGGAGGAAGGAAAAAGTGGAAGGGGGAGGAGAGGAAGGAAAAAGTGGAAGGGGGAGGGGAGGAAGGAGGAAGGGGGAGGAGGAAGAAAAAAAGAGGAAGGGGGAGGAGGAAGAAAAAAGAGGAAGGAGGAGGGAAAGAAAAAAAGAGGAAGGAGGAGGAAGGAAAAAGGAAGGGGAGGGAGGAAGAAAAAGAGGAAGGGGGAGGGAGGAAGGAAAAAGAGGAAGGGGGAGGGAGGAAGAGGGAGGAGGAAGGAGGGAGGAGGAAGGGGGGAGAAGGAAGGAGGAGGAGGAGGAGGGAGGAGAAGGGGAGGAGGAAGGAGGAGGAGGAGGAGGGAGGAGGGAGGGAGGGAGGAGGAGGGGGGGAGGAAGGAGGGAGAAGGGGGGGGGGGGGGAGGGGGAAGGGGGAGGGGGAAGGGGGAGGGAGGGGGATTATATTTTATATGAAAGGTCTTGCAGTTGCAACAATGTATCTATTTGTATCCGAAATGGAAATATACAAATAGATACATTGTTGCAACTGCAAGACCTTTCATATAAAATATAATAGCGGCGCTCTCTGCAGGGACAGAAGTAATTAAATACCAGCCGTAGACGGGATGAAAAATCGGACGATTTTTTTTACCGTTGGTGGTAACGTTGGCCGAACGACCGATTTTTTTTACAAAAAAAAAAAACGGACGGTTTTCGACCCATCTATGGCCTGCATAACTCTGGAGTGTGGGAGGAAACCGGAGAGTGTGGGAGGAAACCGGAGCGTGGGAGGAAACCAGAGTACCCGCAGGAAACCCATGCAGGCAAAGGGAGAACATGCAAACTCCAGGCAGCTGGTGCCGTGGCTGGGATTCAAACCGACGACCCTAGTGCTGACAGGTGGAAGTGCTAACCATTGAGCCACTAGCTAAATCAGATATTTTCTTCATTATACTCTCTCCACCTTCCTCTTTTTTTTATTTGTTGAATGAGATATTTTCTGATTTCTTTATTTCTGTGTTTATTTTTTTTTTTATGTAATTTTTTATCTGTTATTTATTTACATGTATTTACTTAATATTTAAAATGTTTCTCTTTCTGCTATCAGATATGTCTTATTTCATCTATCCTCTATTTTCTGCATTACATTCTCCTCATTCTTCATATTCTACTTGTCTCATTTATTAATATTAATCTGCTATACAGATATTATAATAAAAAAAAATATTATATATATATATATCTCAACACATTTTTTTTGTTTTTTTCCCCTAGATTGTACGCTCTAACGATCCGGGCCCTCTGATTCCTCTTGTACAAAGTTGTATTGTAACTGTAATGTCTGCCTTCATTTTTTTAAAGCGCTGCGCAAACTGTTGGGGCTATATAAATCCTGTAAAATAAGAAAAAAAAATTATAAAATAAAAATTATATATATATATATATATATATATATATATAAAAAAATACATTTTCCCCCTCTTCTGCGTCGTCTATTCTATTTTTATTTTTTATTGTTATTTTTATGTTTATTTATTGATATGCATAGCTGTTTATGTTTGCTATTAATTTATATATATATATATATTAATTGGGTTTACATATTTGTTTGTATTTATTCCATTATTTAAATGTTTCCCTTTCTTTTATTAGCTCTTGTAGTTTCTTCCTTATACAGTCCTGGCCAAACGTTTTGAGAATGACACAAATATTAAAATTTTCACCGTTGCCTCAGTTTTTATGATGACAATTGGAATATACTTCAGAATGTTATGAATCAAATGAATTGAAAAGCAACTCCATCTATGCCATGAAAATGAACTTAAACCCAAACTGTACTCGCTCCTTGTTAAAAAAAAAAAAAAAAAAAAAAATTATATTTATTTTTTTTAAATTATCCTCCGATTCCTCTATTTCTAAGTTTTATCTTTTTTTTTGGTATCTGTTATTTTTATGTTTATCTGTTATACATTCAGTTATTTTGAAGCGTATCTGTTGTTTGTATTTAATTTCTCTTTTATCAGATTTGTTTTATTTCATCTGGTATTATTATATAATATATTTACTTCATTACGCCCTCTACTTGTTTCTATCAGTGATCTCCAGAGACTTTGGCCCTCATGCCCTATTTTTATATTACACGTTTATCATTCTACTCATTCCTCCATCTCTATATATAAATATTTTTCATCAGTTGCAGAGGGATCAGGGCCCCAGAGAGGGGCAGTTATAGGTGGACTGGGAGTCAGGAGAGGGGTAGGTGTCAAGACGTGACATTGGAGGGAGGACATTCTGGAAGGATCGGGTGCCAAGAGACAGGTAGTTGTAAAAAGATCTAGACCCCAAGGCAGAGCAGATGGGCCCCAGAGAGGGGCCGCTGCGGAGAGGGATCGGGTCCCCCGGAGAGGGGGCCGCTGCGGAGGGGGATCGGGTCAGTTGCAAAGGGGATCAGGGCGGTTGCGAAGGGGATCGGAGCCCCGGAGAGGGGCGGTTGCGAAGGGGATCGGAGCCCCGGAGAGGGGGGCGGTTGCGTTGGGGATGAGGAGCCCCGGAGAGGGGCGGTTGCGTTGGGGTGAGGAGCCCCGGAGAGGGGCGGTTGCGTTGGGGTGAGGAGCCCCGGAGAGGGGCGGTTGCGTTGGGGATCGGAGCCCCGGAGAGGGGCGGTTGCGTTGGGGATCGGAGCCCCGGAGAGGGGCGGTTGCGTTGGGGATCGGAGCCCCGGAGAGGGGCGGTTGCGTTGGGGGATCGGAGCCCCGGAGAGGGGCGGTTGCGAAGGGGATGAGGAGCCCCGGAGAGGGGCGGTTGCGAAGGGGTGAGGAGCCCCGGAGAGGGGCGGTTGCGAAGGGGTGAGGAGCCCCGGAGAGGGGCGGTTGCGAAGGGGTGAGGAGCCCCGGAGAGGGGCGGTTGCGAAGGGGTGAGGGGCCCCATAGAGGGGCGGTTGCGAAGGGGCAAGGGCAGGGGCGGACTGACAACTCATGGGGCCCCTGGGCAATAGGGGATCATGGGGCCCCTGTATCCTTGCCCAAACTCAAAAAAGCCTATGAAAAGGGTACCATGGCATCCCATGGGGCCCCCTACTGACCCAGGGCCCGAGTTTTCAAATGGTCAGTCCACCCCTGGGCGAGGGGCCCCGGAGAGGGGCAGTTGCAAAGGGGCTCCGGAGAGGGGCAGTTGCAAAGGGGCTCCGGAGAGGGGCAGTTGCAAAGGGGCTCCGGAGAGGGGCAGTTGCGAAGGGGGCTCCGGAGAGGGGCAGTTGCGAAGGGGCGAGGGGCTCCGGAGAGGGGCAGTTGCGAAGGGGCGAGGGGCTCCGGAGAGGGGCAGTTGCGAAGGGGCGAGGGGCTCCGGAGAGGGGCAGTTGCGAAGGGGCGAGGGGCCCCGGAGAGGGGCAGTTGTGTTGGGGATAGGGGCCCCGGAGAGGGGCAGTTGTGTTGGGGATAGGGGCCCCGGAGAGGGGCAGTTGTGTTGGGGATAGGGGCCCCGGAGAGGGGCAGTTGCGAAGGGGATAGGGGCCCCGGAGAGGGGCAGTTGCGAAGGGGATAGGGGCCCCGGAGAGGGGCAATTGTGTTGGAAGGGATCGGGGCCCCGGAGAGGGGCAGTTGCGAAGGGGATCGGGGCCCCGGAGAGGGGCAGTTGCGAAGGGGATCGGGGCCCCGGAGAGGGGCAGTTGTGTTGGGGATCGGGGCCCCAGAGAGGGGCAGTTGTGGAGGTCAGAGGGTCAGATGTATCAGGTCAGTAGCAATGTATAGCAGACATGTGACCCCTCTGACTCCCACCCAGGTCAGTATTCTGCTCTCTATGTGACCCCATCAGGGTGACCCCTTCAATGTCACCTGCCCCCCTCCTCCGAAACCATGCACCCAGGGGAGCCCTCTGTATCACCTGACATCTGTCAGTGCTCCCCTCCCCCTATATGACCGACCTCAGGTAACCCCCCCAACACACACACCGGTACAACAAGGATACAAAGTAACACTCACCTCTCTCCTTGACAGTCACGTGCGCCACTAAACTAGGAACCACCTGCACCGCGCAGGCGCACTCCCTTGCAGCGCAGGAAGCCGGGGAAGGAGGAAGAGGGCACGCCGGGAAATGTAGTTTGGCCAACCCCAATCAGCGGAACAAGCAAGTGTCGGCTCCTGAGACGGCACATTGCCACCTAGCGGTACCTGACTACAATTGCACACGCAGCGCCACCGTTCGGCGGAGAGCCCTACATTCATCTGGGAGAATTGAGGAAAGAGACCCGCCCTCGGTTCACGTGGTGCGGTTGGCCGGGAGACCACGAGACGCCGGTTCTGTCATCTCCTAGCAACCACAGCAACAAAGATGGCGGCGCAGGAAGAGGCGTCGAAGGCAGGTACAGTGATATGTCCTCCTCTCAGGGTTCCTGGTCTGATGAGAGGGACCTGTCACCACCGACCATTCGGTGTCGGATAAAATGTCCCAATCCTGGGGGGGGGGGTGGGGGAAGGAGATTCGCTAAACGAATTTTAAGTACCTCGGCGTATATTCATACGAGTCGGCGCACATTAATGAGCACTTTATTGCAGCGCACTTTGCATTACGCATCGACCTAAGTAAAAAAAGCAAAAAAAAAAAAAAAATGCACGGCAACAAATTTTAAAAAATGTATTTAATTTTTTTTTTAGATTTAATTCATACATTTATATTTTATTTAATATTCATGTATTTTTCACAAGTAAAAACAAAAAAGAATTTTAAGTATAACATCAGGCAAAAGTAATTTTTATAATTTGTAATTTTTTAATAATATTATATTTATATTGTCATTTATACATTTACTTATAATTTGTTTTTTTATTGATATAAAATAATATCTGAAAAAAAAAAAAAATAATTATAATATACAAAATGTGTGATAAGATATAGTATGTAAAATATCATTTTCATAATTGTATTATAATATACCATTATAAATTATTTATTTAATTATTTATAATTCATTTTATATTTATATTAAATATTTAAAAAAAATAATTATTATTATATATAAAATATAATTATATATAGTATATCAAATAGTCCAATAGAGAGAGAGAGAGTCTGTTCGCCTCTCAAGACCCGTGAGTGCCGCTCTCTCTTTGGGATTACATGTACTACATGCTTTGCGCTGAACCCCAGCCCATATTTTTTTATCTCTGATATGTGGGAAGTGGCAACCATTGAATTATATAGTACATAAAATATAACTTTTGTATTTGTAATATAATATTATAATTATATTAACATTTTTATGTTCTCTTCTAATTAATGTTATAATTATATAAAAAAATAATAATTATATTCAAAATATGTGTAATATAATTATATACTGTATTGTATATAAAATACAATCTGCATATTTTTATAATTTTATATACAATAATATTATTGACATTAAATTAACATTTGGATAATCATTTTATATATATATATATATATATATATATATATATAAAAAAAATAATAAAACATTTATACATTATATAAATAATAATAATTTTTTTATAATTGTATTTTTATATGTATGATATACTTATTATTACTTTATATTTATAGTATATAAAATATAATTTTTATAATTATTATAATATTCTAATTATATTATCCTTTAAATATTTTATAATTAATGTTATAACTATATAAAAAAATAAAAAATAATAATTATATACAAATATATGTAATATAATTATATATAATAATATATAATAATTGCATTAGAATATTATCATTGACATTATATTATGATTTATCATAGTACATTAATCATGACACACTAAGACTGGTGGACTATATATAAGACCGGTGAACTATATCTTACTGTTCCATCAACTCTCAATGTTCCTCAACGTTGAACATTCTCGATGTTCCTCAACGTTGAACATTCTCAATGTTCCTCAACGTTGAACATTCTCAATGTTCCTCAACGTTGAACATTCTCAATGTTCCTCAACGTTGAACATTCTCAATGTTCCTCAACATAGAACATTCTCAATGTTCCTCAATGTTGAACATTCTCGATGTTCCTCAACGTTGAACATTCTCAATGTTCCTCAATGTTGAACATTCTCGATGTTCCTCAACGTTGAACATTCTCAATGTTCCTCAACGTTGAACATTCTCAATGTTCCTCAACTTTGAACATTCTCAATGTTCCTCAACGTTGAACATTCTCGATGTTCCTCAACGTTGAACATTCTCAATGTTCCTCAACGTTGAACATTCTCAATGTTCCTCAACGTTGAACATTCTCAATGTTCCTCAACTTTGAACATTCTCAATGTTCCTCAACGTTGAACACTCTCAATGTTCCTCAACGTTGAACATTCTCAATGTTCCTCAACATAGAACATTCTCAATGTTCCTCAGCGTTGAGGAACGTTGCGAATTTATGGAACACTAAGACTGGTGGGACTATATATAAGACTGGTAGACTATATCTTAGTTTTCCATCAATTCTCAATGTTCCTCAACGTTTAACATTCTCAATGTTCCTCAACATAGAACATTCTCAATGTTCCTCAACATAGAACATTCTCAATGTTCCTCAACGTTGAACATTCTCAATGTTCCTCAACGTTGAACATTCTCAATGTTCCTCAACGTTGAACATTCTCAATGTTCCTCAACGTTGAACATTCTCAATGTTCCTCAACGTTGAACATTCTCAATGTTCCTCAACGTTGAACATTCTCAATGTTCCTCAACATTCTCATTCTCGATGTTCCTCAACGTTGAACATTCTCGATGTTCCTCAACGTTGAACATTCTCAATGTTCCTCAACGTTGAACATTCTCAATGTTCCTCAACGTTGAACATTCTCGATGTTCCTCAACGTTGAACATTCTCGATGTTCCTCAATGTTGAACATTCTCGATGTTCCTCAACGTTGAACATTCTCGATGTTCCTCAACATAGAACATTCTCAATGTTCCTCAACGTTGAACATTCTCAATGTTCCTCAACGTTGAACATTCTCAATGTTTCTCAGTGTTGAGGAACGTTGAGAATTTATGGAACACTAAGACTGGTGGACTATATATAAGACTGGTGGACTATATCTTAGTTTTCCATCAATTCTCAATGTTCCTCAATGTTGAACATTCTCAATGTTCCTCAACACAGAACATTCTCAATGTTTCTCAACGTTGAACATTCTCAATGTTCCTCAACGTAGAACATTCTCAATGTTCCTCAACGTTGAGGAACGTTGAGAATTGATGGAACACTAAGACTGGTGGACTATATATAAGACTGGTGGACTATATCTTAGTGTTCCATCAATTCTCAATGTTCCTCAACGTTGAGGAACATTGAGAATGTTCAATGTTGAGGAAGGTTGAGAACTGATGGAACACTAAGACTGGTGGACTATATATAAGAGACTGGTGGGTGGACTATATCTTAGTGCAAAAAGTGAAACAAAAAGTGCACCAACCTTGCGCATTACCTCAGTAACCAAAATGTATTAATTAGAAAAGTACTCACAAACAGCGAATAAAATCAGGCATGTAAGTCCTCAAAGGTACTTCAAAGATAAGGAGCCAGCGCGAATCCCATCATGGGGGTAGGACACTCAGTACAGCTGACACGTTTCGAAGGCCATGCCTTCTTCCTCAGAGCTAAAAAAGCTCTGAGGAAGAAGGCATGGCCTTCAAAACGTTCCTCAACATTGAACATTCTCAATGTTCCTCAACGTTGAGAAACATTGAGAATTGATGGAACACTAAGATATAGTCCACCAGTCTTATATATAGTCCACCAGTCTTAGTGTTCCATCAATTCTCAACGTTATCCTCCTTATCTTTGAAGTCCCTTTGTGGACTTACATGCCTGATTTTATTCACTGTTTGTGAGTACTTTTCTAATTAATACATTTTGGTTACTGAGGTAATGGGCAAGGTTGGTGCGCTTCTCGTTTTTGTTTCACTTTGCAGTATTGGACGGGCTTCCCCAGCCTTGTTTGGAGCTGCACAACCTTATATGCACTGGTGGTCGCTTTTTCCCAGTTCTGGTTCCATCCATTTGCCACCTGCCTGGAGCGCAGGAGAAATCGCGTTTGGACTATATCTTAGTGTTCCATCAATTCTCAACGTTGAACATTCTCAATGTTCCTCCACCTTGAACATTCTCAATGTTTCTCAACATTGAACATTCTCAGTGTTCCTCAACGTTGAAGAACGTTGAGAATTGATGGAACACTAAGTCTGGTGGACTATATATATAAGACTGGTGGACTATATCTTGGTGTTCCATCAATTCTCAACATTGAACATTCTCAATGTTCCTCCACCTTGAACATTCTCAATGTTCCTCCACCTTGAACATTCTCAATGTTTCTCAACATTGAACATTCTCAGTGTTCCTCAACGTTGAAGAACGTTGAGAATTGATGGAACACTAAGTCTGGTGGACTATATATATATAAGACTGGTGGACTATATCTTGGTGTTCCATCAATTCTGAACATTGACCATTCTCAATGTTCCTGCACCTTGAACATTCTCAATGTTCCTCCACCTTGAACATTCTCAATGTTCCTCCACCTTGAACATTCTCAATGTTTCTCAACGTTGAACATTCTCAATGTTTCTCAACGTTGAACATTCTCAGTGTTCCTCAACGTTGAGGAATGTTGAGATCTGATGGAACACTAAGACTGGTGGACTATATATATAAGACTGGTGGACTATATCTTGGTGTTCCATCAATTCTCAACGTTGACCATTCTCAATGTTCCTCCACCTTGAACATTGTGTTCCTCAACGTTGACCATTCTCAATGTTCCTCCACCTTGAACATTCTCAATGTTTCTCAACATTGAACATTCTCAGTGTTCCTCAACGTTGAGGAACGTTGAGAATTGATGGAACACTAAGTCTGGTGGACTATATATATAAGACTGGTGGACTATATCTTGGTGTTCCATCAGTTCTCAACATTGACCATTCTCAATGTTCCTCCACCTTGAACATTCTCAGTGTTCCTCAATGTTGAACATTCTTAGTGTTCCTCAACGTTGAGGAATGTT